GAAAGGGTAAGAAAAAGTTGGCTGAAGTAAAATGTCTGAGGAATCAGAGGAATGGACTGAAGGTATATAGAAAGTTGTAAAAGGCCAGAGGGGATGTGAACTATGTTTGCTGTGGTTTCTCATACCTGCAAATACTGAATTAATAATAAAAAAGTAAAATAAATAAAAAATTTGACTATATTAGGTTAATTCTGTTTGAAAACCTTTATTTTGTTAAAAAGTTTTGTTTATCTTTCGAGAAAGTTGTGTATGCTTGTTTTTTTGAAAAGTTATGTCTGTGTTTTCTGGTGTGATCGTAAGTTTTGTTGCAAGCATAGAGCTGAAACAGAAATGGTTTGAAGATTTTTGCTGTCTAATGCGGACAACAACCAGTCACTTATGAACATAGTCGGAATTTATCTCTGAGCTCTGATCACTGGATTCGGGCTATCAGGAATTCGTATGTTGTTTTGATGTAGATAGCATTAAAACTGTTTTATGCTGTTCTTTATTGAAAAGCTGGCTCTAGAGTTGGATCATGGCTCTTCCTTTGCTAGACCCAGGTATGTTTATTTAAAGCTTTTCTCTGTTGCTTTGTCAGTCTGAGCCCCTGACACAGTGATAGGGGAAGGAAAACAAAACAAAAGAAAACAAAAAACAAAAAAAGCAAAGCAGAATGGCCAAAGGGGGAAAAATTGGACTTGGTTTATGTGAACATTCTCTACTTTAACACTTATTATTTTATTTTGTTAGATAGTTAAAAGTCTGTTAAAATTAAAACTAGTTAAAAAGTTAAAACTAGCAACACTGGGAATTGATAATTTAAAATCTATGCTTGGGTAATTTTTAAAGAAACCATATGACATTCCAATTTGGATTGCCACCATTTTTTGGTCAGTCACATGGCTGGCTGCCATTTGCTGGAGTTAAAAAATAAAATAAAATAGATGTGATGTGATTTCACTGCCATCTTGATTGAAGGTGACAATAGGTGCAAATGTCACCACCCTCAGGAAAGGACTGTCAGCTAATGGCTCTTGGATCTCAATGCCACCACCTTGAGCCCCTAGGCAGGCAGGACCCATGATTGGGTCCTGTCCTTGGTACTTGTGAAGGGAGGAATGTAGAGCCCAGGGCAACTTGGTACATACCTGCTGCTTTGCTATGCTGCTGCCATGCCAAGACTTAAGTAGGCCTGAGTTTTCAGTTTACCCTAAAGCAATACCTGATTTCAGGAAAAGACCAGACTGAGACCATCTAGGCACCACCCAGGAAGGGACCATCCAAGGGGAAAGTACCTAATGTTTCAAAGGAAATTCCTAATGTTCCAACCATTGTATACAGGATCACCTAATGTCCCTTAGCTCGAAACACACACCCATCCCTTTTCACCAGACATTCCTAGACAAATGTCAGTCAATCAGGAGTCCTAAACCTTAGAAATCCCTTACCCCAACCTCTGCTTTGATAAAAAAACAAACAAACAAACAAAAAAACAAAAAAACAAAAAACATCCCAACTGAGCTTGAGGCTCTCTGATCCTGCCATTGTGCTGCATACACACATAGCCCAAGTTTGAACTTGAATAAAGGCTCTTTGCTTTTACACATGGGATGGTCTCCTTGTTGTTTTTTGGGGGACTCCACAATCTGGTACAACAGAGAGATGGTTCAGTGGTTAACAGCACTTAAATGCTCTTCTTGGGAACTCAGATTCAATTCCCAGCACCCATATGGTACCTCACAATCATCTATGACTCCAGTTCCAGGGATCTGACACCCTCTTCTGGCCTCCCTGGAGCAGAGACATACATGCAGGCAAAGCATCCATACATATAAGAAAAATTTTAAATTAAAAAATATTTAAGCTGAACAGCATCCTCCTAAGCATCAGGTATTGATGAACCACCCTGCCTATAGCTTATTAAAAGCCATCTTATTGTAAAGACAAACTAGGTTTATTCCTGTTTATGATAAAACCTCTGTTTCTCAAGGATTGGGCTTAAGGATATGCCCACTTTTAACCTTAACTACACATGATTCTGTACTGCCTATTTCAGGAAATGGCAACCATGCCTTTGTTTCAAAAGATTATATGACCACTTATGACAAACCTGTAGTTATGGCTACCTTGTTATGACCACCTTGCAACCTTGTCTTTGTTTCCAGAGGTCATTATGACTAACTTGTTATGCTTATGTTCTGCTTCTGTAACTCCACCTATTTGCCTGCCAAATCACTAATTTGGAAACTCCCTACCCCTCAGCTATAAAAACCCTTGTCTTCAAATCCAATGGTGATCTCTTGAACCTTGATTTTAGGGGGAAACAGCCTTTGTACATGAATAAAAAGCTTGTTTTAATTAGTTGCTTGCTTTAATTTGACCATGATGATTTGAGTCAGTGTTCTTTCTCCCTGCATCTTTGGGAATAACAGTATTATACTGGAAATCCAAGACAAACATAAGTAGAAAATTTAAATATGTTCAGAAATGTATTAACTTTTTTCTAGGTGTTATGGAATGCTGTTATCTGGGCATGACATGACCATTGCCATGTGGAAATCAGAGCAGGCATGATTACATCATAGGACCCTCATAAGACTGGGCCCACTAACATTCCCTGGAGAAAGGGTAGGAAGCCCCATGAGCCAGCACATAGGACACAGAAACAGTACTGGGGGAGGCTTTTCTACAGAACAGCTGCCAGGAAGCAAGTCTACTTCCTGTTCACCAAGCTAGACTGGGATGGAACAATACTTTTGGTCTGTTGTTAGCAACCTTTTTGTGGTGAATAGAAGTGAGTTCAAGTTTGCCCAGGAAAAGACATGTACCCTTGAGATGATGACCCCTTGATAAAATGATCCATAAGTGTAAAGACACTGTAAAAGTATAGTTAATTCCTTGGTTCTCTGCCCCCACCCCTGCAGGCCTGGGATTGAAGAACCCAAGCAAGGTTTTGCATATGCTAGTCATTATTGAAGATGGCAGCACATACCAATGCACCTGTCAGGACAGCACTTAAAATTCTCCCTGAAGTTCACAACAGTCTCCCATACTTTCATAATTGCTTTATTACCAAGGAACATCAGAGTGAGGTTTTGAAATAAGTTTTGCTATGGTTAAATAGAGAAAATATATCCAGAGAGTATAATATACATTAATTTGTGGCACTTCTCCAAATATCACCAACGTACAAATTATTCTGTTAAGTTGTTTCACACATAAATGATTTAAAATGCAAAGTATATGGAACTCTATATTGGCAATTAATGGAAGCAACATGGCTCCAAATACTGAAAATGTAAGACAGGTTTCTTAGGTATTCCAGGCATAAGTATTAGCTGTAAGTGCTGACAGGGAGTTTCAGTAATGTGATTCAACAAAGTAAATCTGTAAACATATCTCCTATGACAGTCATATACAAACCATTTTATCACAAATTTACCAAAACCTTCTGAAATGTAAACCACAAACACATTTTAAAAGAAATTCTACGTTACAACAACTACAAAAGCAGTAACTGCCAACAAAGTTATTTGGTTTTCAAAATGTAGAGTGGTATAATGTAAAAATCAAATACCTCACCTCAAAGCTATTTTTTCTTTTCTTTGTATGTGTGTGCGTGAGAGAGAGACAGAGAGACAGAGACAGAGACAGACAGACAGAGACAGCCTTGGCTTCCTGAGTGCTGGGATGAGAGGCATGTGCATGTGCTACATGTCTGGCTTGAAGGTATAGTTTTAAATTTAAGTTTTTGCATGCACGTGTGTGTGTGTGCGCGTGCGCGCTCGCGCACGCGCATGCCATAGCACACACACACACATGCCATAGCACAGTGTGGAAGTTAGACACAGTTTGCAGGAGTCAGTTCTTTTCCACCTTTGAGTTGGTTCAGGAATTGAACTCAAGTTGCCCAGCTTGCACTCAGGTTTCCAGGTTTGGATGGTGAGTGGATTTACTCACCAAGACACTCATTAGCTAGTACTTTTTAGTATAATGTACTAAGTATTTAATTCTTTTTTAAAAAGACTTTGTATATAATTAGGATATTGAACTAGAGCTCTAAAAAGGAAAAAAATGCAGATGAAAATAGCTATATAGAAATAATGGTATAAATATGAATTTATACAAAATGTACTGTACTTCAAATATGTAAGGCTTAATATGAGCTTTTGTGGATTCTGAGTCTTCCACAACATAATTTTTAGAGCAGTCTCAAACCATTCAAAATCTAGTACTTCTAAAATGGTTTCACTTTTTAAAACAACATATATTTATTTATTTTTAGGCAGGGTCTCATGTAGCCCAGTCCATGTTGGTTTTGACCCTCCTACCTCATCTCCCAAATGCAGGGATTACAGGCATGTGCTACCACACCTGGCTTTGTTTTCATATTTTAAGCAAACATGGATATCACTTCATGCCATCTGGTCTATGCTGTTGTATTAAAAAAAACAATGAAATGTTCTTTGAGTTATCTTTTAAATAGTTACAGAATCTCTATATAAATTTTATCTTTTGAGATTTAAGAATGCTGTAATTTGAACTAATATCCACCAAGAATTGGTCTAAGCTTAAACAGAAGTCACAAGAAAGATACAGATGTCAAACAGTTTTAAGTCTGGCCTATGCAATTACATATAGTCACAATTACTTTTTATGTGAAAAGTGCTTTAGAATAAAAAATATTTTTGTAAAGGATATTATTGATAATATTTAGTATCTAAGTAAAATTTCTGTATTGGTTCCATTTTGCCTATTTCCTTTGGGAAGTAACCCCTTGCTACAATGTGAACAAAATACAACCTATACAAGGGAGACACTGTATACATAGTCATTTGTGGATAAGCCCTTAAATCAAGATCAATTATTTATTAATCAAAGTTAGGGCGATTTTATTCCTTCCACATGCCCAAAGTAACTAACACCAGTTCAGATGTCTATAAGCCTTGAAGAATTTTAACCACAATGAGGTCTAGTAACTTAGAGCAGAGCTCTGTGGCTCCTCTGGAAGTTGCTGTTCACCAACTGTTTTTATGATGGTAGCTCCGAGATCTGGAATGTGACCGAAAATGAGAATGCTTTGCTGTCTGTGTCTTGGTTCCAGAGCTGGTGTACCCTCTGGGAGACTTGCATGGGGATCTTGCTATGCGGTCACAGTGTCGTCCATGTGATGTTGATTTTGCTCCTGAGCCAATCTGCTTTTGAGGTGAGCGTGAGTGTGATTTTTCCATTGACTTGGACCTTTTTGGTAAGGACTTGGATCTTGACCGTCCCCTAGATCCAGAATTCCTTCTTGGTGTTCTTGACTGCCTTGCTGAGGTAGACTGCCTTGGTAGTGATTTAGAGCGAGACTTAGACTGACTGTAAGAAGATCGCCTGTGTCGAGACCTGGAAGCATGTGTAATGTTAGAGCACTTACTTTATACAAGGCAACAGGTTAAGAGACAGTACCTCCTGACATGCATATGAAATATACCCCACAGGGACTGTCAGGATGGCTCATTGGTCAAAAGCACTTGCCTCTCTTCCAGAGAATGTGGGTTTGATTCCTAGCACTCACATGGTCAGCACACATAACTGTTTGTACCTGCTGTTCCAGGGGATCTCGAACCTTCTGAAAGTATTACATACACGTGAGGCATAGACATACATGCAAGTAAAAGACCCATACTAATGAAATAGAAAAGAAAAGGAAAAATATCCTCCCCAGACTCAAGTATTAGCGGCCTGATTGCTAGCCAGTGGTCTTAAACGATGTGACAAGATTCTGAGGGTTCTGACCTAATCATTGGACTAGTCCCTGGATGGACTGACTCACAGTGTATGGTGTCATCAGGAGGAGATATAAGGTAGGAGGTAAGGCCTTCTTGGAAGTAGTGGATCCCTGGGGGTGCTTTGAAAGCTGTTTGTTTCTTTCCTTCTTTTTTGGTCTTTTGAAACCATGTTTCTATGAGTAGCTCTGGCTGTTCCTGGAACTTGCTTTGTAGTCCAGACTGGCCTTGAACTCAGGGATCCACCTGTCTCTGCCTCCTGAGTGCTGGGGTTAAAGATGTGTGCCACCACTGCCTGGCAACAACTGTTTCTAATAACGGGCTCTTACCTCCCAGCTTACTGTTTGCCATGAATTGAGAAACCTATACCATAAGGTCACTGGGCATGATAGTCTGTTTCATGTTAGGCCCACAGCAATGGATTTAGCTTCCTGTGGGCTTGACCCTCTGAAATGCTGAGCAAGATAAATCTTTCCTCCCTAAGTCTAAGTTCTCCTTGGTTTTTTTTTTTTTTTTTTTTTTTTTTTTTTTTTGTAATGATGGGAAGTCTGATTTACACATTGTTTTAATGGATTATAATGACAAGATGCTTTTTTTTTTTTTCACGCATTAGTGCTGGAACCCCAGGCTGTTGTGGAATATTATTTTAAGGTGTGTTACATTTGTTTATACTATGGAACATCTGTTTAATGATACAAAGATGTGCTGCATTCTTTTATGTTACATTTGTTTAACTCTGTGAAACTGTGTTACTTTGCCTGTCTAAAACACCTGATTGGTCTAATAAAGAGTTGAATGTCCAATAGCTAGGCAGGAGAGAAAAATAGGCAGGGCTGGTGGGTAGAAAGATTAAATAGGAGAAATCTGGAGAAGGAATCGAGGAGTGAGAAAAGAAAAAGGAGAGGAGGACACCAGAGTCTAGCCATCCAGCCACACAGCCAGCCACAGAGTAAGAAGGAAAGAAAGATGTATAGAATAAAGAAAGGTAAAAAGCCCAGAGGCAAACCATAGTTAAAGAGAAATGGAATAGTTTAAGTTAGAAAAGCTGGCTAGAAATAAGTCAAGCTAAGGACGGGCACGCATAAGTCTCCATGTATTTATTGGGGAGCTGTGCAGTGGGTCCCCAAAGAGTAAAAAACAAAAACAAAAACCTACATGGGGCTTTGTTTTTGCTAGGCAAATAAACCAAACCACACCTCCAGCCCTAAAAGAAATAATTCTAATTTTATCATTCATGCTTTTGGTTCAAACATAAGTAACAAGTCTGTAATATCTGTTATATTAGAATATATGTTCAAAACACTTTTTACTTTGTGACCCTATATCATATGCCTTAGCTCTGTAAAAAGTTCTGTATATTTAAAGGGTTAAACATTCTCTCTCTCTGCTTTTTTTTTTTTAAGGATTTTATTTATTTATTATGTATACAACATTCTGCTTCCATGTATATCTGCACACCAGAAGAGGGCACCAGGTCTCATAATGGATGGTTGTGAGCCACCATGTGGTTGCTGGGAATTGAACTCAGGACCTATGGAAGAGCAGTCAGTGCTCTTAACCTCTGAGCACCATCTCTCCAGCTCTCAGAAGGTTTATTTATTTATTTTAATTTTATTATTATTATTATTTTGTTTGTTTGTTTGGTTTTTCAAGATAGAGTTTCTCTGTGTAGCTTTGTAGCCTATCCTGGCACTCGCTCTGGAGACCAGGCTGGCCTGGAACTCACAGAAATCTGCCTGTCTCTGCCTCCTGAGTGCTGGGATTAAAGGCGTGTGCTACCAACGCCCGGC